CCATTCTAACCCCCCGGTCTTCCAGCCAGATGGCCTCCAGAAGGCTCACAAATGTGCCTGTAATTAAAAAGCCTTTATTTTCAAAACCATTTCGCAGCTTATTCTTCTGACAATGAGATGGGGCTTCTTAGGCTAATGCTGGGCAAGACGAAAGGAAAATACAGGCTGGCTGCTGCCCGGCGTGTTTTCCTTTCCCGTTGACACAGGTTATATTTACTATTTACCCGCTGAAGCTGAGGAACCCACGTGTCCTGCAAATCTGGGCCACTGCTGAAGCCTCCCCAGGGCCAGCACTCGTCTTCCCTAACGATGCTCAGCTCTGTCCCCGTTAACCATCCGTGCTGATGCACCTAACTAACCTGAAAGGCTTTTTGACTGCAGACTGAGCAAATTTAACAATTTCCCCTCAATTCCCCTCATACTGAGCCTGGCCGGAGAGAAACAAATGGCCACATCCTTGCTGAACGGAGATCATTTAATTCAAAATCCAGCACTGTTTTATTCCCTCCAGCACATTCCCAATCACCCTCATCTTATTCCTCAGCATCAGAATCCCTTCTACTTCTCTAGGCAGCATTTCTAAAACATGGATCGCACCTCTCCAGCATCCCAGTCTCTGCAGAAAGAGGCTGTATTTTCTCTTTCCTTTTGTCCAAGTTCATTTGTATCCACGTGGCATTTCTAATCACGAAATCATACCCCCTTCCAGCTGGCAGGCAGCCTCATGTGCTGGTTTTAAAGCACAAATAAAATCCAGTTTTCTGCAACAATTGCCAGAGCCCAGGCTCACCCTCCCCGTTGGGGCTGATGTGCTCAGTCCCCCGCTTGCCTTCCTGCAGCCGGGGGGGGTCAGTCCCTCTCCAGTCGCTTCTCATCTGCCTGATTTTTCGGGAGCGTTCCCTGCAATCGCGGCACCGAGCAAAGCCTCTGAGCTGGCTCAGATTTCTTGGCTTTCGCTGAACAGGAAAGTGAAAGGGGGGAAATCAATATCCCGGAAAGAAGAAACGCCTGATCCTGTGTTGGTGCTCACCTTGGGCAGGCTGGAGGTGAATTCAGAAATCACTTTTCCATGTGCCGTCAGCGCAGGCTGAAATCCTACCGAAGCTGAGAGGCTGAGGGGTCCCAGCTCACGCTCGCTCTGCCCTTTGCACCGAAGCCCACCCGGGCCCCTCTGCAAGCACGAGGGGAAGGGGCTGGAGGCGGCCACAGCCTCAAGGTGGGAGAGCAGCTCCGGGCTGACCCCGCTCACAGGGCCGGGGCTGGGGTCCCCAGGGGGGCGGGAAGCAGAGCTGGCTGCTCGTGGCACTGAGGGGTTCACA